AGAGAGAGAGAGAGGGAGAGAGAGGGAGAGAGAGAGAGAGGGAGGGACAGAGAGGGAGAGAGGGACAGAGAGAGAGACAGAGAGGGACAGAGAGACCGAGAGACAGAGACAGAGGGGGAGACGGAGAGGGAGACGGAGGGGGCGGGGGAGAGAGCTGTCAGACGGTCATCGGCGGCTCAGTAGGCAACATGACAGGGCAGGGCTGACCAGTTCAAGTCCCTGACGGGACCCGAACCCCACCTGGCCCCTTCTGTCCGTCTGTGGACACGTGCAGGGGCTGGGGCAGGGGCTGACTCTGCACAAGACGCAGCAGGTCCCCCCTGGGTGGGCACGCCAGCCACCTGAGTCGCCCTCTGTGGGAGGGACCCAGTCCTGCAGGTCTCCCTCAGCCTGGGCCACAGACCTCAGGTCCAGGGCCGCCATGGCCCCAAGCCCTGTGTCACGGAGGACATGCCGTGAGCAGGCCAGCCCGTGAAGGACAAGGACGACTGGTTTCTCTGGAAGGCGCCGGTGCCCGGGGCACAGGCCTGCCCCAGGCGACCTTCCCGAGGGGCCGCAGTGAGCTCTTTCCTCCCCAGATCCCTGTGGCTCGGGTTCCGTCTTGTTTAACAGACGCTGATGTAAGCACCTACTATGTGCAGGCCAGGGAGACACAGACTAAACACCGCAGGGACAACACTGAGGGCCCAGCCCGGGACTCCAAAGGTGACACAGACCCCTGAGCCTCCCAGGGGAGGTTTCTGGAGAGGGTGACCTCAGGGCTGCCGCTAAGAGAGACCAGATGCCGCTAAGAGACGGGATGCGGTGGCCATGATGCCTTCAGCAGGCCTCGTCGCAGGAGGACGCACCAGGGCCCAGAGGAGAGGTACCAGAGGACCTGCAGCCCAGCAGGATGATCCCCGATCCTCGGTGGCCATGGGAGAGGAGGGGCGGAGGGAGCAACCCAGAGTGGGCAGGTGTCCCTGGTAGGTGTCCCTTTAGACACGGGTGTCCCTGGCTGAGCTGCAGCCTGGGCTGGCTCGGGCGCAGGGCCTGGAGGGCCGGACGGTCCACTTACTCTGTGGTCGAGGTCAGCTCCTCCGACACGTGGCTGGAGTGCAGCAGGCCTTCCCGCTTCTGCTCGTCCCCGGAAGCGAAGCAGAGAGAGGAGGTGAGAGGACTCGCCCACGCACAGGGCCCCCGGGCAGGAGCCCCCTCCCCACGGCTCAGAGGCTCTTCAGGTGGCCGCTGTCCCCCGTGTGGCCTGACAGCGGGCCTCAGAGGGGGTCTTGGAGGAAGCGCCCCGGCTCAGAGTCCCCAGAGGGACTCAGAGGGCCCCAAGGAGGGGCGGAGGGTGTCTGAAGGATGGGGCGTGACAGCGGAAACACCCAGTGAGACAGCTCCCGGGCTGAAGAGGGTCCCCAAGTACGTCCACCCAGAGCCCCAAATGTGACTTTCCTTGAGCACCGTCCTTGCGGACAAGACCCTGTCGTGCTGGACTGCAGTGAGCCTGAGTCCTGCCCGGCTGCGGTCCTCGTAAGGAGAGGAGGCAGAGTGGGGAGGCCACGTGTCCACCAAAGCAGAGATGAGACCGAAGCCTCGGGACAGCACCCGCTCCCCGGAGGCTGGAGGGCCAGGGTCCTCCCTGAGCCCTCTGAGGTCCTGCTGACCCCTGACCTCAGACTTCTGGCTCTCGGATGCGCCTGCCCTCCTCCCCTCTTACAGCTGCTCTGTCTCAGCAGCCGGGGGCTACCCCAGGGCACCGGCCGCTCCTTGGGGCTGGGCGGGTACACAGGTCATGGAGGGGTGCTGTGGCGTGACAGCTGCAGGTGCTCTGGGGGGACCCTGGTGGCCACTCAAGGCCACCACCACCGCAGGCCCCTGCCCGGACCCCTGGCGGGATGGGGGATGGCTTCCTGAGGCGGCGGCCCCCGTGAGCCATCCGAGATCGGAGCCTCCCTCCTTCCCGAGCGCGGCCTCCAGAGCCTCTGGGGCTGGTCCCTGTTAATGAGGAACGGCTGGCCCTGGCCAGCAGCCCGCTCGGGGCCTCAGGCTGACCGAGTCTCAGAAGAGTCTTCCCGGCGAGGCCAGAGACATCCTGTCCACTTGTTCACACACCAAACACGCACTAGGTGCCTACTGGGTGCTGGGCCCAGGCCAAGGTATTGGAGACTTAAAGCCGAATAGTGTAAAGGTAGTGGACTCTGGTGGGAAGTCACTGCAGGTCAGTGACCGCGTGGCACAGCCCAGGCCCTGTGGTAGGAGGTGGACGTGGCCCTGGCCTCTGTTTCTTCCCTCCTTGAAATCCCACGGGCCTGGCGTGGCCCCGCCTGGACTAGGGAACCGGATGCCCGAGCAAGTCCAGACATGCGGGGACAGGCCAGGGGATGGCAGGGCAGGCAGGGTGGCTCGAATGAGGCCGGGAGGCCAGCCTCTGAGCAACGGTGCGGCCAGCTTGGAGTCCCCCTCCCTTTCCTCCATGCTGGGTGTGGCCCTGTGAACCCGGTCAGTGTGGGAGGCACCTCGAATACTTGCTTGGGTCAAACATTCCGCAAACCCAAGATTGCCTTGGACCCAGCGCAAGCCTGAAAGGGGACACCCGGACGCTGAGCCTGCGCCAGCCCGGCCGGCTCTGACGTAGGTGGCTCGGAAACCAGGCTCCCCATGTCCTCGGGAAGCCTTTCCCGGCCGGCTGCCTGCGACCAGCCCTCCAAGATAGGGACCGCAGGATGGCCTCCTGGGGCCCACGTCACCGTGCTGGCCACAGACGTCCTCCTTAGGCAGGAAGCGGACAGAGCAGGCAGGTGACCTTTGCTTAGTGCCAGAGAGGGGCCTTCCAGCCAGGCCAAGCCAGCACCCGGGTGACGGGGCGGTCAGACGGCTTCAGAAAAAAGCAGCGTCTCTGCCAGGTTCTTGCGGACCGCAGGCGCCACAGGACTGGTGAGTCCAAAAATGAGAACGTGTGGCCGGACGTCTCCAGGGACGTAGAGCCCCGAGACCCCCAGGTTCCCAGGAGCAGAGGCAGCTGCTCTTCAGGCCCGAGGGGGTCTCCTCCCCAGCAGCCCAGCGAGCGCCTGGTGCCTGCGAGGTGCTCAGTACATTCACCAACAAAACTGTGCCCGCACCCCGGGGCCCACACCCAGCACCGGGGGGAAGCAGCGGGGGCGGGGCAGGCCCGGGGGTCCCAGTCCTTCTTCGAGTGAATCAAGAGAAATGAATCCCAAAAAAGAGATAATGGGGATGTGGGACGTGCTCCACGGCAAACGCGCGGAGCCTTTAATTTGGGGATCTATTTCCTCCCGCCGGCCCAGCCTCCTCCAGTAATAAGCACATTCAAGGGATTGAATTCCGACGCGTTGGCTTTGGAGAGGAATGAATGTGCTTTTCAAAAATCTGGAAAATTAAACCTCAACACCCTGCAGCCGCTGCCTCTGCTCCAATCAGCGCCATTGTCCGCCCCCCGCCGTCCACCTCGGAGCCAGGGCCAGACCCAGAGGTAGGCGCTCGAGAGGGAAAATCTGCAGATGGAAGGCGGCGGGAGGGGACGTCACGTTGCCTTCCCCGCGCAGGACGCACCCGCTGGCTACTCACCCGGACGACCACCACCTGCACGGACACGTGCTCGGGGAGGCGGATGGGGGCCCGGAAGTGGGTGGCCAGGGCGATGAGGAGGTGCAGGATGGCCACCAGGTTCTTCCCGTGGATCGCTGTGGCAGGGAGGAGAGAGAGGCTCAGGGAATCCGGCCATCCACAGGGTGGTGTCCCCAGGGATCTCAGAGGCAAGGACAGGGCCGGCCGTGGACAGCACAGCGCCGGGCCTCCAGCGTGAGCTCCTCTCTCCTTTCTAGTTCTTTCCTTCCTCTGCCCCGGGTGACCGTACAACCACTTTCTAAAGCAGCCTGGCTTTTAAAGCAGTGAACCGGGAGGCCACGTGCCACCACAGTCGTGACGCCATCATCTTTGGCTCCCAGTGACTTCTCCCTCGAGGCCAGTGGCCGTCCCATCAGGGGTGGGCCGTCGAGGGCAGAGTCTCTGGGATGCTGGATGCCGACTCCCACCTGGCCCAGGTCAGTCTCTGTGGCCGCCCACTCTCCCCAGCCCCGAGTGCAGGCCGAGGCTGGGCAGCTGCCACCTCTGCCCATTCCCACCCACGGCCCCTGCACCCTGGAGGCTGGGTCTCTCCAAGTTCTCAGGCCAAGAGGCCAGGGCAGGTGCCCTCTCCGCAGCCTGGGCCCAGCTCCCCAGGCCCCAGGGCCACGGGGCCAGCAGGGAGAGCCCTGCACCCCGACTGCCCTGCAGGGGGTGGTCCAGCTTCTGATGGTCAGCGCTCCCCTCTCGCTGAGTGCCTGGCCTGGGGACACTGTGACGTCACACCCTCCTGCAGCCAGCTCACCCTGTGGCACCCTCCTGAGGCTGGCCCAAGTTCCTGGGGACTTGCTTTGGGGGCCTTCAGTGAAACAGCTCTCTTAGAATGAAGTCCCGGGGGTTTGGAGTGGAGTCCCCACAAGAGCCCCTGGGGACGGCCCTGCCTCTGAAGTCTCCCTGGCCCGCCCACACTCCTCTGCTCTCCGCTGGGCAGACAGAGGCCCTCAGGGTGTGCCCAGTGGCCCCGCTTTGTGGCCTCCTGCCCCTCCCCTCTGCCCTGCCCTCCCGTGGGGCAGGAGGGCCAGCAGGTCTCTAACCTCCAGGGCCAGGTGCCTTGGTGGGGGAGAAATGTGCAGAGGCAAAGGCTCCATCCAAACACGCCCTCCCGGCCGGGCGCGGTGGCACACGCCTGTAACCCCAGCAGCTCAGGAGGCTGAGAGAGGAGGATGGTGAGTTCAAAGCCAGCCTCGGCAACAGGGAGGCACTAAGCAGCTCAGTGAGGCCCTGTCTCTAAATAAACACAAAATAGGGCTGGGGACGTGGCTCAGTGGTCGAGTGCCCCTGGGTTCAATCTCTGGTACCCCCCAAACCCCCAAAAGACACGCCCTCCCGGCGCCACTCACAGTCCACGCTCCACCGCAGCGCCCAGCCGTGCGGCCGCAGCAGGTCCAACACGGCGTCCAGAACCGTCTGCAGCTTCTGCTTCTGCCCGATCTCGGACTGGGTCACCTCAGCCACGTTCAGCTTGCGGTCCGCCAGCTTCTCTGCAAGAGGAGGACGAGACTGGAGGCTGCGTGTCAGAGCAGGCAGGAGGGGCCAGGGTGGCCTGGTCACCTGCCGACTGAGGCCCTCGAGGTGGAGCAGGTGACCGCAAGACACGGGGAGTTTTGAGACGTGGAAGTAAGAACCCCAAGTCCTGTCGTTCCACACCAGAAGGAAGAGCAGGACGGGGCAGGGGCGAAACGTGGAGCCCCCCCCCCGCCCCCAGATCAACCCATGAACACAAATTGGAAGAGTCACGAAGACCCCGCTGAGGGCCAGGGGCACCTGGAGGAGTGGGCAGCTCGGTGAGGAGCCCGTCCTGGGGACATGAGCTCAGCGGGGCCAGGAAGGCTCTGGGGCCACCTCCCTCCTGTGTGCCACTCCCACTGGCCCCGCTGATGTTCCGACAGAGAAGTCTGCTAGAGTTTCACGGGGCTGGCGCCATGTTGTCCCCTAGAGGGAGCAGCAACCGGGAGGGGCCTGGCGAGTACAGGGACTGTCACCTGCGCTCAAGATTCAATTACTGAGCCAGAGACCCGGCCGCGGCCTGCGTTCCTTCAATTTCCCTGAGGAGCGAGCACAGCAGCAGGTGAGGGCAGGGGACAGCAGACGCGGGCACGGGCGCTACAGCCGCCCTGGTGAGGGCAGCGTGGCGGGGGACCCGGTTCCCGCCCACTCGTAGATTCCAGGCTCAGACGTCGGGGCCAGACCTCCGCCAAACGGCCAAAGTGTCCCGGGACGGTCCAGGGAGGGCGTTTAAAACCCCACCTGCTGGGTGACAGGCACAGTCCTGGAGCTCAGCACGCAGGGACAAGGGGTCCCGAGTGCAGAGACGGGCGGGGTGGGAGGTGACCGAGGGGGTCCTGGACACACCAACTGCGCACCATCCAGCTGGGCCGAGGGCAAGAAGGACGGGAAACAAGAGCCCGCCACGCCGGCCTGGGGACGGTGACGCCTGGCACACGGGCCCCTCCACCTGATCCAATCAGCCGAAGAATCCAGTGTCCCAGAAACACCCTGGAAACCCAGCAAGGTGCGTGCACGAGTGTCCCAGGACCTAGCACCGGGCAGAGCCGGGGCCCAGGAGCCCAGTCCAGTAGGACAGACAGGGACCCGGGACACCCCTCCTGTCCCCTGCCAGCCACGTCACCTGGGGTGGAAGAGGAGGTGGAGAGACAGAAGGAAACTGCACCCATCCCCGGGCAGCGTGACAAAGCATCAGAGGAGGGGGACAGCCAAGAGTGGTCTTCGTGTCCAGGGCTGCCCGCCTGCGGCCGGGCGGCTGGGCTGGTTTCTCCTGAGCCTGTCCTCCGGCTCCTTGACTCCACCTTCCCCCTGTCCTCACATGGCCCGGCTGTGAGGGACACCAGTGACGGTGGCCCAGCCCCCACCACGAGGCCCCAATCGACTTCTCCAAACAGTCTCACCCTGTGGGGTGGACGGGCTTCAGCGTGTGGGTTTAGGGGGACACACCCAGCCGTAACGGAGACCAGGGAGGCTGGCTGTGCCTGGGGTGGCCTGGGCTGGGTCCTGGGTGGCACTCCACGTGGCGGGGAACCAGGGACGTGGCTGCTGGGCCACCAGACATCACCCTGCCCCCTGCTGAGACGGGAGACAGGGAAAAGCCGCCGGACCTCAGGGAGTCGCGAGGCCCTGGTGACAGCAGCGGGGGCTGCAGACACAGAGGCGGTGGGCAGGGGTCGGCTAGCAGAGGCAGTAGCCGGCCCGGGAGTCCCCACGGCCGTCGGCATGGCACCCTCTACCCATAAAGAGCAACGTAGCACAGATGTGCCCCAGAAACCCGCCTGCCGCGGAGACTGGCAGCTCCTCTGGGACCGGCCACCGGGTCCTCACCCGCGGCAATTTCCACATGACCAAGCCCAGAGGCCCTCTCTGCCCTGGACTTCTCACCCGTCTCCTGGACGTACCCTCGGTCCCTCCCGGTACCACACTCCTTGTGGCCCATCCTGCCCAGCTGCTTTGCTGGCTCCTCCTCTTCCTGACCTCTCCTGCTGACCACCACAGCCCACTCCTCAGACGCACAGGTGGCAACTTTGGCCTCCGTACTCGGCCAAAATCCCGTATTTGGTTTGGGATTTTGCCTTTTGTAGCCAAGGAGTGAAATGCCTGCAGCAAGATCTCCCCTGGACTCTGGGCCTGGCTCAAGAGTCACGTGGGCTACCGACACGTCTCCTCAGGGTCACAACAGGTCCCACACCGGGCACGACGTCGGGGTGTCCTGTCGACAGCTGACTATCCCTGAACGCTGTCCTTGTCTTCAGCGTGGGACGCTGACCCACGGACACACAAGAGACTTTAAAGTGGCCTTTCGAGTACTTATGGGGGACCCTCAAGCAAGGAGGACCAGCAGCCTGGCCACTGTGACAAGGCGCCAAGGGAGCCTCCCCCACGCTGGGCACAAGACAAAGGCACGCAGCCAGGCTCGCGGCCACGGCGGCTCGAGGAAGTGCTGCAATCGCGGGGCCAACTGAAGAGGGAACCGAAAGGACGTGAAGGACACCTGCTCCAAAAGATGGCCCCGACGCGGGCGGGGGACGGCATGGTCCACACCCCACCGCGGCTGGTGTGACACACATTCAAGCCTGTCCTGGGATCCTGAGATCCGGTCACTGAACCTCACGCCACTCTGCAAGGCCTGGGGACATTTTTTCTGAGACGAGACAGGTGGAGCAGAAACAAAGAAGCAAATCCACATTTATAACAACAAAGTTTCCCAAGAGCACTGCCCGAGTTTGCGCATGAAGACACCAGGAAGTGTCTGCTCCGGGTAGAGAGAAGAGGCCAACTTGAGGGACGGCTTCAATAGAACATCCCCCCAGCAGCCAGGTCCCCGAGGCCCAGAGTCCACGAGGAGCTAAGTCTGCACGGCCACCAGTCCTTCTGAGGGAAGCTGAGAGCCAGGCTGCTTCACCACCCGTTGCACCTTGAGGACAGTGACAGATAAGGTCAGTGTGCTGCTCTGGGCTCCTCAGTTGACAGTCTCCACCAGCTCACATGTCCAGTGTGAAAAGAGTGACCAGCACCTGGCTGCTGGGAACGACTGTGCACCAGCACCCGGCTGCTGGGAATGACTGTGCACAGCACCCGAGGAAGTCAGCTCCACTGGACAGCGGGACGTTGGCACCCACCCACTGACCCTTCACAACAAAGTCACGATAACTATGAAACAGCCCGAGGGACACTTCAGATTCATCCTGGAACCCCAGAATTATCCTAAGACGGGATCCTGCCTCAGCCAAACTGACGTCCCTCCTTGGCCACCTGCAGTTCGGTCAGATAAGGACTTTGGAGCCCCCTCTTCCAGGTGACGCCGTCCAATCCAGGACACTGAGCGCACGCGGACGCTGCGGCTGGACTCCAGACTCTTGCCCAGCAGTGGACTTCAGGATGCAGAGCTCCTCCCCGGGCAGCTGTCACCTCCAGAACACTGTCCCTGTCACACTCCTGCCCTGGTCAGAGCTGCAAAGTCAGCCTGGTCCACGTCCCAGCCCAACTCCTGACCCTCCTTCCCATCGACTGCACCCAGAAGCCCACGTGGCCTTTTAAGTCTCTAGCTGAGACTGTGTCAGGACCCTGCTGAGGGCCTGTAGTGGCCTCCTGTCATGTGGGAGAGAAGCGCTGCTTCCCAGGCTGGACGCCATCTGGCCCCATCTGTCCTCCCAGCCTCGGCTCACGACCGCGTCTGCACGGCTGCCCCCCCACACTGACCGTCTACACAGCAGGCTCCTCCAGGCGTCAGAGCCTTGGCCTGGACATCCTTCCCTGTCCTGTGCGCAGGTCGGCTCCTGGGCGGGGTCCCTGGCTGTCCAGTGCCACAACTGCCCCCGCACCCACAGGCTGCTCTCCCCGGGCTCCCTGCCCCTCACAGCGGCTCCTCATGCTTCAGGTTGGACCGTCCACATGCACCTCGTCCTCTGTCCACCCTCGGCTGGAACACACCCCTGGTGGCCCTCGGGCTCACCCCGTGTCTGGAGCCTAGGCCACCTAGACCCGCCCTGGCACTGCCAGCCCCTGAACAAAGGAGCAGGTGACCTCACGGTGACAACAGCTTCCCTCCAAGTGCAGTCTGGAGGACAGGGGACCCCTCCTGTCACGTTCCTCACGACACAACACCAGGGTCACCCCAGGGACTGGGCGGCGCGAAGCAACCCACAGAGACAGAGGCACCTTCTTCTTTGGGTCCTGTGACGGCTGCTCTGACCCTAGGGGTCAGTGAGGAGCGAGCGCCGGCTGACCCCTTTACTGGGGAGAAGCCATTCAGACGAGGCCAGGGGTCAGGTTTTGGGGGGCTGAGTCCAGCTTCCTGATGTCCACCGTCAGCAGGTCGAGTGACATCTAGGAAGCCACAGCCAAAGGCAGAGCAGAGAAGGGGACGCACCAGGGCACTTCCATGGAACATTGGATCCCAAACAGGGCACGGGGTGGGACCGCAGCAGAACAGGTGACGTGGCTCAGCCCCGGGGACAAGCCGACTCAGAAGACTGGCCTCGGGACCACCACGCCAGACTCAGCCATCTCTCGGATCCCCGTGGGCAGCAGGACTGGAGGGCGTGGTCACTTAGCGGCTCCGCACACTCCCCGACCGTCCAGGAGGTGATGTGACCCGGCGCCTTCCCTCAGCAGGTGAGACGGTGGCAGGGCCATTTACATCGCGGGTGCAGACCCCGCCCCGAGTGAAAGACTGGGCCTCCCCACACCCTCGCTCTGCAGAGGCCGCCCTGGGTGTCCGGCCTCCCTGCCTGGGCAGAGGCTCCCCTCCTCCTCCAGCCCCAGGGCGCCTCCTCCAGGCAGCCCATCTTGTCTGCACCCCCAGCTGCTCTCCCTCCAGTCGGTGGTCCCCACCACCCCCCCAGGGTCCTGCAGCCCCCGCCCCCTCCTCTGCCCCGCCCTCGTCCCCAGGGAGGGGCCTCCGTGGGGTCTGTAGGGAGGACGAGGCTCGCCTGGGGTCCAGCACAGGGCGGGTGCTGGGAGGAAGGAGGCCCTGAGGCGGGTCTGCCGACCCCACCCGACACGGGGGCCTGGGGTCTCGGGTGACCCTGAAGAGGCACATTAACAGGCTCTCCCAGGTGTCGGCCCTGAAGACACCCCAGAGCGTCCTGGGGACGGGAAGCCATGCCGCAGTCAGTGGGCGGGGGTCCAGGGCACGGAGGCCAGCAGGCCCCGCGCACGTCACCCCCCCTTTTCCACTGAAGTGGCCCATCCACGTGGTCACCAAACTGCAGGACCCTTCCCGCCCCACCCACAGATGTGCCAGGCCCCAGTCACCCCGAGGACCCGGGGACCCCAGGGAGCCAGGCGGCAGCCACCCTGGCCAGCTCCTCCGTTGTCTTTCTGATTTTAAGTCCTCCCAGTGACCGCAGACCGGGCGCTGGCCATGCAGAGTGCCACGTGCGCTGTTCAGGGTGGCGCTCTGTCCCCGGTGACACAGGAAGGAGCCGGGTGACTGTGGCCTCCGCTCCCGCCTCCCTCCTGAACCACACCTCAAGTGTGAGGCCACTGTCCCTGGACCCCTTCCGGTCAGGACATTGGCCAGGGTGGCCCCGTGGGGACGGTGGCCCAGCCCGGGCTCTGCCACTCACCCAGCAGCTTCTGCAGCACCTGGCCGTCGTAGAGGTCCTCCTCCAGCTGCTTCACGATGATCCTGTCCTCCACCAGCACGTCGTTGACCCAGTCCAGCAGGACCTGGGGGAGCAGGCCGTGAGCCAAGGAAGGGACGGCCACCCCCGCAGCCCACGCCACCATGGCCACCGGACAGGCCTCTCCCAGCCCACGCAGCCCGCACACCTGCCCTGGAGGCCGGGGCTGCGCAGGGAGCTCCCGGCGCCGGGTGAGGACGGGCCTCCTTCCTGCTGGGAGCACGATGCGAGCCAGGAGGTGAGGAGAGACGGTGGCAGGGAGGCGGGGGCACGGGAGTGAGTGCTGGGACTGCCACCCCCGGCCCCCAGGCAGGAAGGGGCCGTCAGACACCCCCCTGGCCCCCCTCAGGGCTGGGGGAGCCCCAGGCTGTGCAGGAGGGTCAGCCTGGCCTCTGGCCAGCTCGCAGCCCCTGCTTCCCACAGCACTTTATAAAACAGCTTTAGTGAGAGACAGTCCACTGCCACACCCTCCAGTGGGTGTGGTACCACCTCCAAGTCGTGCAAAAGCCCCGTCCACTTTAGAACCTCACCACCGCCCTAAACAGAAGCCCCGTCTGTCCCTCTCGGGCCCTCCCAACCAGGACCTGTCTTCTGTCCTGTGGCCTCATGCTCCTGGCCTTCTGGGACGGGCTTCTTTCTCTTCCTTCTTCCTCCTGTGGTCCAGCTCTGCCCACGTTGCAGTGTGGGTCCACCCTGTTCCTTCTTCATGGCTGCAGACTGTTCCACTGCACGCACGTGCTGTTGACCCTCTCATCCGTCGCTGTGCGTTTGGGTCATGCTGCTGCCCTTTGGTGCTGTGAAGAGCACGGCTGAGACCGTCCACGTTCCCGTGCCCTGTGGAGGTGAACTTCCCTCTTTCCAGGCAGCCTCTTCCTCTCAGGCCTTTTCTCAACAAACTCCCCAGCTGGGCTCCGGGTGGTGCTTTGGGGCTGCTTCTGCTGATGGGCGGGTCCCGGAGCCGCGCTCCACGGCCAGCCCTGCCCGCAGCAGCCCTGCTCCCAGGACGGGATGCACAGCCTGGGCAGCCTGGTCTTCCATACGTCCCCCGGGCGCACCGTGTGCACCAGGGAGGCAGACGCCTCCTGCCCCTGACCAGAGGCCAGGAACGTCACGGGGGCTGTCCAAGGCCGACCCGGGCCTGGGCCCCAGAACCGACTCCCGCAGCACAGCACTGAGACCGGGACCCCGGCCCACTCTGGGCCCTGCATGGCGGCTGCTGCTCTCCTCCTCCTCCCTTTTCTTCTTCCAACTTGTGTTTATTTATTTATTTGGTGGAGAGGGGCAGGAACAGAGCACAGGAGGGGCCCAAACAGACAGCAGGACTGCTGACCACACTCTGGGAAGGCCTCCTGGGCACGCAGACCTTTGGTTCCCAGGCCTGGCCCAGGGCACCGTCCCCCGAGAGGATGTTTCTGCAGGAAGAAGCTAAAACCTAAAAACGATCTAAATCACATCTGGATCCTTCCCTGGTCCAAGCCCAGACAGAAAACAACAGAGACCAGAACCAGACCCCTGCTGCAGACCCAGCGGTCAGCTCCGGGGAGAGCCAGCCAGCGCCCGCTCAGAGTCACCGTGCCCGGGGAGGGCAGCACGTGGCCCCGGAGCTCCCGGACCATCCGTCTTGTCTTCTGCTCCGCACAAGACCTTTTAAAGGTAGCACAGGGCGTTATTGTTAGGGACGTGCTCATTTGCACACCCGGGTCCCGCGGGTGAGTGTCCAGGACGTGGATTACTCATGTCCTCGCGGTCACCTTGGTTTTATGAGCTTGCTTTAACCCGAGTAAACAATGTCTTCCTCCTGAGTCCCTCCTGAACCGCCATCGGGTCAGCAGTGGCCTCCGGGGGCTGGGACTGTCATCTTCTCACCCCTTCCAGACGCGGTCCTGGCCCACCGGGGACGCCCGCTCACGGCACCGGGCAGGAGGCCCCTGGGCTGGCAGCTGGGGGCACGGCAGGCGCCTCCGCGAGGCCCCGCAGCCCCAGGGTGGTTTCCGTGCCGCTGATTTTCTCCCCAGACGCCAAGGGGAGGAAGACCGTCCAGTGGGCTGGGAGACGCGCTCCGGGGTCCAGAGGGGCGGCTTCTGTCCACCGCGCGGGAGTTTCACGTGGTTTTTCTTCAACTCCAAACACACACTGTTCCCAGCACTTCTCTGACTCTGTCCTCCAATTTGACAATGACCCTAATTACCCAAACTGGGGTTCCACAGGTTAAGAGTGCCATCCCCCCAGGCTGGCCCCACTCCCTAGATACTGCCCCTCTGCCCCTCAGACGGCCGGCGGGGCCTCCCCGCCCTGGGTCGGGTCATTTCAGAGACTGGCCTCGGAATTCAGCAGAGCCTTACGGGGCTGGCGATGACAGGGCACGCGACACTGAAGGCATCATAACGTCCATTAGGGAGGGCGGAGGGCGGAGGGGTGGGCACAGGCCACCCTCACAGCCCTCCTGGCGTCTCACTGACCCCGAGCCTCCCCCCATTTCCACTTGTCCAGAGCTGCGTTCGTTAGGCGGCCACAGGGCCACCGGGAATTGGGCTCCCCGCGCCTCCCCAGAGTCCAGCGTCAACCCTCCCATGACTGGTCAGCCCTCCGAGACCAGCCCCCATCCTGAAGCTGGCCCAGCAGCCATCGGGGGTGGTCCTAAGGGCCCTGCGGGAGTCCCGGGAGACCCTCTGCCCTAGAGAAACCCAGGCATGGCGGAGCCCTGCGCCGGCCATCAGGACGCAGGCCAGCGCGGCTCTCCATCTTCCCCCGCGTGAGTCTTCCCCGCCCGGAGGGCTCGGGACCACGGTCCTCTTTAGAGAATCGTTAAAAATACAAAGTGCCTCATTCGTGAGCCACCTCCTGCCCGGAGGAGCACTTACCGTCCACCCAGGAGGAGTTGAGCTGTGGAAGAAGCCCGACTCCTGGACCCGGGCAGCGGAGGCCAGGACGGGGAAGACGTCCAGGTCGTCCGCCGCCCGGAGCCCACGCCAGTCCCGTTTCTAAACAGGCAGCCGGGCCAGCAGCGTCCCTCCGCTCCTGCCTGCCTGCTCCTGGCGCCCGGTGGCCTCAGGAGCGCGTGGGTGCCCAGCACCTGCCCAGCTCCACCTGCACCCGAGTTAGGATCTGGACCTAGGAAGCTGACCCCAGAGCCACCGTCACCCCTGGGCACCACATCCCAGGAGGTGTCCCTCAGCAGTCTTGGGACTGTCCCGGGACCCCTGTGGATACCCTAAGCTGTTGAAGTCCTTTGTTTTTTTGGTACCAGGAACTGAACCCCGGGCTCTTTACCACTGACCACATCCTTAGCCCCTGTATTTTTTATTTAGAGACAGGGCCTCCCTGAGTTGCGTAGGGCCTCGCTAAGTTGCTGAGGCTGGTTTTGAACTGCCATCCTCCTGCCTCAGCCTCCCGGTCCCTGGGATTACAGGCGTGTGCCCTGTGCCTGGCTGAAGCGCCTTCTTTTAAATACTGTATGTATTTGCGTGGAACCTACAAAACCCTCCTGTACGCCTGGAAGGGCCTCTAGAAGACTTACAAGACCTCGCCGGTGTCACTGCTAGTTCAATGTGGTGACACTGGACTGTTCAGGGAATCATTTCAAGAAAGAGGCATTTGTACCTGTTCAGCACAGACATAGCCCCCTTGGCCTGACCAGGTGGCAGACTTCAGCAACAGTGCAACATTGTTTCCACCTGAGGGTTGTTGAGCCTGCAGCTGCAGACCCAGCTGTGACCCCCTCCCAGCTCCCGGCCAGAGAGGCACTCATTCAGGCGTGGTGGGCCGGGAGCGAACACCTGAGGGGTCTCTATCGGCAGCCCCAGGGGGTCAGGGGGACCGTGTGGGCGTGCGGCTGACACACAACACAGGTTCCCTGCTCCATCGGAGCCATGGCGTCTGCGTCTTGGGGAAGAGTTCCAGGAGAATGGGGCCAGAGCTGGGGACTGGGGACTTGGACGCTGAGGCAGGTGTCCCCAGCACACCTGGGGAGCCAGGAGGCAGCCAGCCACCGGGGGCTTCAGAAGACCCCTGGCTGAGCACCCGGTGGCTGCCCGTCTTCAGCAGCCCTGCCCGCAGCAGCGCCCACCGTCAGCCTCACCTTGACCAGCTCCTTGAACTTGGGGTCCTCCCTGGAGGTGGGGTCGATCATCGTGCGCTCCTCATTCTCCTCTGCCGGGGACAAAAGGGCACAGTTGATGTCTGTGAGGTGGCAGGGACGGGGCGGCCGACCCCCACACATCAGGGGCGGGGGATGGCAGAGACCCCCTCCTCCTCCGCAGGGCCACGCCCACGCCACGCTTCAAAGTCAAAACCAGGCCCAGAGCGTGGGGGGCCTCGCCCAGGGGACAGGGTCACATGCACAGTTCTGCCCCCACCAGCCCAGGCCACCTCCACCAGGAGAAGGAGGCCGGCGCGTCCACTGGGGCCTGGCACAGCAGAAAGGGCCCTGCCCTAGGAGCTCCTGCGGCCACTGGGACGGTCACCAAGGGCCGGTGGCAGGAACACGGGGAGAGGTTTGAGGTGTTAGTTGGGTAAAAATATCCTGCAAAATAGCCCTTACGAGAAACGTCAGAAATAACGACAAAAAATGACACCGGACAGCGACGCCCGGCCCCGTCCTGACCCATCCTGACCCGTCCTGACCCGTCCTGACCCGTCCTGACCCGTCCTGACCGTTCTGACCCGTCCTGACTGTCCTGGCCCGTCCTGACCCGTCCTGACCCATCCTGACCGTCCTGACCCATCCTGACCGTCCTGACACATCCTGACCGTCCTGACACATCCTGACTGTCCTGACCCGTCCTGACCAGTCCTGACCGTCCTGACCCATCCTGACTGTCCTGAC